GTCTCTCTCTCTCTCTCTTCTCTCTCTCTCTCTCTCTCTCTCTCTCTCTCTCTCTCCTCTCTCTCTCCTTTTTGCCTTTCTCTGTTTCTCTTTCTGTTTCTCGAAAATTTACGGAACAGAATTAAGGACGATTAAATCCAGTTTCTCTCGCTTAACCTTCTTTCCGGCTTCTTTCCGTAATCGGTAATTAGTTGATTCGCATCGAGGACAATAGCGTCCCTGTTGATCTCTTGATTTAGTCCTTTGAAAAAAATAAGTTGAAGTATCAAGACAATTTTTTTTTTTTTCCATTGCGAAGATTCATTTTAAGGATAAAAGCTTTAGCGTTAATCGAATATTCATTTAACTAGAACTGCATCAAAGACGCGTTGTTTAAGACGTAATGTAATTCATCGATTATTTTTAATGTCGTAATAAAATTCTACTCTCTTTCCATGTATTTATAAAAAATTTGTAGAGTTCAAATATTTGCATTTCTTAATATCTTTTGATAATTTAGAAGTACGTCTAATTTTTTTAATCAACGGTGAGAATACTACATTTACGACAGACACAGAGATTCACATGAAAAAATAACTTCAAAGTGGCAAATATATTGTCAATCGGCCTTGTAATTCTTTCATAAGTCAAAGCAACAAGAAATTGCAGGGAATTTGTGAAGAGGAATACGAGTGAGAAATCTTCCTCAAAGGGAATGATTCAGTAGGTCTCACCAAGGAGACTTCCTTTATGAGGACTATCGGATAAAGAAAAAAACGGACGAAAAGGCGAAAATGAGAATCGGCTCCGCGAATCGAGTTCTTTATCCTCTTAGCAGAAAATAGCGGAAGAGGAAGCCGAAAAATTTCAAGTGCCTGTAATAAGGCTGGAGGTTTCCCCACCGTTAGTTTAACACATGATAAAAATTTTCGAAGTGTTTTCGAAAGAGAACATTTTTAAGAAATAGAGGTGATAAAAGAAAAAATTTTTCATCTATTTTGAAATTATTATTCTGATAGTTTTCCGACAATTTTATCCACGAATAAATAAAAAAGTTTCGGCTTATGTATTAGATACAATTGACTGATAGAATACACATACAAATAATTATATTACATGAAACGATAAATAAAATTATTTATTCCTCATCTCATTCCATTTTAATTAAACACATTTTTAAATGAATTTTTCTTGAAAACAACTTATGCAGCAAGAACTTTTTGGATCATATGAACAATATGTGCTAAATTATTACAAAAACAATTTTCGATGCAAGAAGCTTTTTCGTGAAAAAAAATCGACGCACGTAGCAGCGACAGGAGTGAATATGAACGATAAATGAATCACACAACAGTCCGGATATATCTCTGTCAAATAACGTAATATGCGAAATTTGCCGTTACCATACATGAATGGTTGTACGTAATACAGTTGTACATAACTGAGTTAATAACGTAATGCACATAAGACAACAGAGACTCATAGGGAAAGAGGTGGGTGAAAGAGTCGGGAAGGTGGTTCGGGGGATGGGGAATGCATCGCGGAAACAGGTACGTCGATTAGGAGGAGAGATCAAAACGATCCGCGTCGACGAGGAGAGGAGCGAACGGGGTACGGGGTCGGGGCCAACCCCCGGTGTTGATTTTAATTGAAAACGCCTCCGCGGAGAAGATAGCGCGCGCATGTATATACAGGGGATGTACGTGTCGTTGGCACACGTACGCGCGCACACGAACGCAGATGCCGATGCAACCCCCCCCGACATCCGAAGGTAGCGCGAGAGCGCGCCAGCGCTCCGGCAAACGTCCCCGGGGAGCAGTGGTACGAGGGGGTAATTCAATTTGACACCCCCACCCACGCTTAAACAAGGCAGCACCCATCCGAGCGTCCTCCCTCTCCCTCCCTTCTCCCCCCC